CTTCCCAATTTTTTTTACCCTTCCCAATTTTGAACCATGCAGTGTTTCCTTGCTCCGCTCTGACGACTGCCTCCTGGTCCAAGTATAGGTTTCACATTAGCACGATCAAGTGTTCTGGAATATCATTCTTCTCAGAGGCAGACACAGTTTATGATCCACACAGTTAAACGCCTTTGCATAATCAATGAGACACAGATAGATATTCCTCTGGTATTCCCTGCTTTCAGCTAAGATCCATCTAACATTATCTACGCTATCCTTAGTACCATGACCCATTCTAAACCCAGCCTGCAGCCAGGAAATTAAAAGACGTATTCCGATGGGAAAGTATGCTGTCAGGGACCTCTCCAAAGTACTGAAGAGCAGTGGTGTCACTCTGAAGACTAAGGTGCACCTGATACAGGCCATGGTCTTTGCGATCACTTGTTGTTCATCAGACAGTTGGACAATGACTAGGGAGGATAGAAGGAGAATCGATGCCCTTAGGCTGTGGTGTTGAAGAGTATTGAATATATTACCGACTGTTAAAAAAACAAACAGGTTCATCAGGAGAAGGTTAAGCCAGGCTGCTCCTTGGAGGCAAAGATTCTGAAGCTTTATCTGACATACTTTGGACATGTTGCAAGGAGGACCAGTCCTTAGAGAAGGACGTCATGCTTGGGAGGCTGGAGGGACAGCTCAGGAAAGGAAGACCCTCTATGAGATGGATTGATTGAGTGACTGGGGTAATGGGAATGGGTGTGTCAGAGACAGTGAGATTGTCACAAGATAGAGCAGGGTTTAGGGCTTTTGTACATAAGGTCACTAGGCAACTTGACAACACATAACAACAACAAATCACATGGGAAGAGATAGCCTATCTTTCTCCCTTGGAGTTGCTGATGAATTCCAACAGCCAGAGCCAGCCAGGTTGCTTTTGGGTTAGCAGATAATTCCCTAAGGACTAGGCCACCAGAGCTTCCTTAAAGGATTATCAATAGAGTGTTAATGCTATTACAGTTTATTCATACAATGAAATACTATGGGACTCTTCTTTAAGTTAGCAGTGCAGTAATAGGCTAAGGATACCACCAAAACTCCTAAGAGAAAATCTTCCCCCTCTCTCTTATTTTTTCCTAATGAAAATAATCAATTTATTGATTTTTCTGTTGTTATGGAAAGGTCATGCAAAATGGTGGCTACAGAACATTGTCATTTGAATTTAAATGTAGAAGATAAAAGAAGGCTTGCTCTGTAAATTGTAGGAGCCTGGCAGGGAGACCAGTTAGGAGACCAGTACTAAAGTCAAGTGAGAAATGCTAAGAACCCAGACTAGTGGGTCCGTGGTAATGGGGAGGATGATGAATATTGTGGGGGTTGATGAAAGAGGATCTGGGGTCCATTTGGTTTTAGGGAGGTCTGACAAAGAGTAAAGAGTCTCAGATGACACAGGGTTTCTCAGGCAGCTAGATGGACCATGAGGTCATTCATCAAGATAAGAACTGTAAGAGAAAGAAAGATGAGTTCTATTTTTGACCTGGTGAATTGGGTGTTATATAGACACCAAGTTGAGGTGTCCACCCTGGACATTTAAGGAGTTAGGAAAGAAGTGTGGGTTGGAAAGGCATATTTAGTAGTCATCACCTTGGTGGGAACTGAAGACATGGGAATAGATGAGCTCTTTCAGGGAAAAACATATGAAAAAAAAAAAGAAAGAAATAGAGAATCCAGGCGGGGAAAAAAACATCTGATGCTGGCAAAACTTGTGGAGTTAGCACAGTGCAGGGTCATATCAGGGGCAGAGTCTAGTGAAAAAGTGGAAGTAATGAAACAGGTGAGCAAACCCAAGAAGCTATTGCAGGTTGTTTGGACAAATCAGAGTTAAAGAGTCAAGGAACAAATATTTAGGAATATTTAGAAATATTTAGGTTGGAGTAATAAACTCTAGGGGTCTGGGTAAGATACAAGATATAGAAGGTGAGATTTTTGTCTTGTTGATTCTTCCCCACCAATCTGTTTTAGATGAGCTACCCCGGGAAGAAGGTCTCGGGGCCAGTGAGGCAGTTGAAAGGCTAGGTCGGGGTTGTGTGTGGGATGTGGCTGGAGAAGATGGTCATCGCTGGAGGGTGTTCCGAACAGGACAACGGGAGCAGCGAGTGGACATGACTGTCATCGAACCCTATAAGAAAGTCCTATCTCACGGAGGTAATTGCTGGTATAAATGAAGGTGTAAGAATTGTGGCTTCTTGAATAAAATGCCTAAGCTAGAGACCCAGTTTTTTGGTTTTTTTAGAAATAAATTTTTATTTTATACTGGTTTTCTTACAAAGTTTTTTATGCAGTGTTTTTCACACCAGATCTTTCCCATTTCCTTTACCCACCCCTCCCTCTACCTATCAAACTGTGTGACCCTATGATTACCCCCCTGCCCATCCTCACCCCTCTGCTCCTATCCTTGTCCCCTTGGATCTTCATACCCATTTTTCTAGTTATCTATTTCTACAATACTGAGACCTAGTTATTGAGTTCAAAATCCTCTCTGTAACTTCAAGGCATCCTGAGATCCTCAACCTATACAAATGATCATTACATATTTACTGAATGCATACATTTCTCCTTGTCCTCCCCAGGTTACCATGGTGATGGCCTCAATGCTGTTATCCTCTTTGCTTCCTGTTATCTGCCCAGAAGCAGCATCCCCAACTACACCTATGTCATGGAACACTTGTTTAGGTGAGGTAAAGGCCCTAAAGAAAAACAAAGAGAGTATTAGGGAAGGAAAGAAAAACAAAACCAACCCCCTTTCAAGTTCAGTTGAGCAGGCCTTCCCTCCCTATCTCCTTTCAGAAAGGGGGGTTCCGTCCCTTTGTGGATGTAACTTTCTAATAAATTGATCATTATTTTACCCTAAAAAAAAATCAATTGAGCTGGTTGCAGAGTCAGTGATAAGCAGTCCCTCTTATTCCTCAAAACCCCAAACACATATTCTCCCTGCAATTTCATTCCCCCAGGTATATGGTGGGAACTCTGGAGCTGCTAGTAGCTGAAAATTATCTACTTGTTCACTTGAGTGGAGGTACAAGTCGGGCCCAGGTGCCATCACTGAGCTGGATACGCCAGTGTTACCGTACTCTAGATCGACGGTGAGACCCTAGAGGGCTGCAATTCTTGGTCTTAACTCTTTTTTTTAAAAAAAAAGTTCCATTCTTTCCTCCACCTAGTCTCTTCTGTTTCTTTTTACTTTATATTCCCTTTTTTTTTTATATTCCCTTCTAATCCTCTCCTGTCTTCTGTCCTGTTTCAGAGTTAAGTAAATCTGGTTTCAAATACTGTTCTTACTATTAGCTAGCTGTGTGACTGGTATCTTGGACAAGTCACTTAAATTTTCTGGTACTTTTTTTTGTCTGTAAAATGGGGCAGTTCTGCTCTAACTTACAGGGGAGTCAGAAATAGACTCAACAGCACACAACAACAAAATGGAAATGATAGTATGTTTCCCACTGATTATTTGAGCAAAACATGTAGTAAATCACTGGCATATTACCTACAAATAAAACTTTTTCCTTGTTCCCTAGCCTTGCCATTATTTCACTTTCTTTTTTTTTTATTATTATTTCACTTTCTATGTCTCCACTATCATCTTTTCTTCTTTGCCTTCACGCCTAAAACCTTATCTGTTTTCCCCTACATTTCTTTCTTTGTTTTTTCCCATCTTTTTTTACTAATTTTCCTTTCTTCCTGCCCTTTTCCTCCCTCTCTCTCTCTCTCTCCCCCTCCCCCTCTCCCTCTCCCTCCCTCCCTCCCAGATGGAGTTGGTAAATGTCCTGATCATGGAAGGATAAGGAGACATGAGACATGCAAACAAAAAGGGTTGAGTTTTGTAAGAATTAAAAACAACACAAGAATGTGGAAGGGAATAATGAAAATGTGTGAGGGAAGAGCAAGAGGTAAATGTGGAACAAAAGAGCAGGCTGAGGAATCCTGAGAGACGACTTTCTCCCCCCCTCCAAAAAAAATGAAGGACATGGAGTGCTAAAGATGGATGGAGCTGAGTTTTCAGATAAAGGAACAGGGATTAAATGAAACTGCCAAAGAAATCTAGAAATGAGAGAGAGAAGAAGTTCAAGTACAGGGAATCACTCCACCTTTTTTAAAGGAAGAAATAAAATAATCTCATTCTTTTTCAGGCTCCGAAAGAATCTGCGAGCCTTGGTGGTTGTTCACGCTACATGGTATGTGAAGGCATTTCTGGCACTGCTTCGGCCCTTCATCAGGTACTGGCTCTGGTGACAAGGAACCCTCTTCCTCTTGCAATTTAAAAGCCAAGATAAAGATGATTTTGCCCTAGCCGGACCCTTTCTAGTTTTAACCACTGTCTTCTTGCTACTTAGATTTCCCTTTGCAAGGTTCTCCAGGAGCACTTTTCCCAGTGCAGAACTCATTTGATATATCTTTTCTTTTCAGTTCCAAATTCACACGAAAAATCCGGTTTCTGGACAGCCTTGGAGAACTGTCCAAACTCATCTCTCTTGATCAGGTCCACATCCCTGAAGCTGTCAGACAGTGAGTCCTGAGTTTAAGGATAAAAGTTCGGGGTGATATGTGTAAAACTAATTCTTGTTGATGCCTTGGGGAGATACAAAAGAAATAAAAGGGGGAGGAGGCCTTATTTCCAAATGCTTCAGTGTATCTAGGAATATTGTACAAGGATGAGAAAAGAAATGACCTTTTCTGGTAGAAATTACACTACTGCACCTAATAAGATGGACAGCGCAAGAGAGGGAGACCCCGGATGAGATGGAATGATGCAGTGACTAGGGCAGTGGAGGTTAGTGTGTCGGAATTAGTGAGACTGGCTCAGGACAGGGAAGGGTTCAGAGCTGCTGTACATAGGGTCGCTATATATCACAGGTGACTCAATGGTACATAACAACAATAAGATACTATGACAGGTTTGGAAGCAGGAGTGGCATCCACTTCCTAAATAAAATGCCTCCAAAAACTCTATGAACTTTGATAAATGTCAGTAGTTGTAGAGGGGCTTGAGGCCTTTTTTAATAGGGTCTCTGTGATCGTGCTTGACTCGAAGGCAATCAACAACAACAAGAGCACCTAACAAGAACAAATTGGAAAAAGATATACATGTGCTGGGGCATCAAAGAAAAAAATGAGTAATCACCACACAAGAGTTTGAGGAGATTCAGAGCAGTCCTAAAAATTAGGAAGGGCTGTGTTTGCAGTGACTATGAGAATATATTGACAGAGGAAGAGTATTAAGGAGCAAAGAATCCTAAATGATGACTCTAGCATCCAGTCTTCTAACTCTTCCGATTTTCCTACCTCTGATACCAAGTAAGGTCATGGTTATGCTGCTCCTATGCCACTTCATTTTTCTTTTTTTCCCCATACAAGCATCCATGCATATTATGTTTTATAGTATTAATTACAATTGATCAAAGCTTGCCTTTTTGTCCTAGGCTGGACCAGGATCTCCATGGCTCAAGAGGGACCTAGCACAAGACTGCATAAGTGGCCTTAGAACCAAGCAAAGATGGTGATTTACCTACTGCTGAAACATCTGAGTGATTTTGTAAACAGTCTCATCCTCAACCTCAGTGCCACTGGATCTTCATTGTCTCTATGGGGTGTCATCCTTCTGTGACCCTCCCCACTGCAGAACTTTGAGCTCTGGAACCTCATCTGTGGGATGAACTTCTCTTCAGCTGGGTGTTGTATAGGCATGTAGTTTGTATGTAAGTGCAGCGATGAAAGCATTTTGGGGAAGTACACAGCTCCTGAGTTTTGGTCTTACTTTAACTGAAAAAATTTAGGTAGATAATTTTGTCTCTTTGAGTCTCATTTTCCTCCTAAAGTGGATCCTGTCCACTTTGGAAACTAGTAGTTGGTGAGAGACCTACAGCTTGCCTGCTTGCAGTATGTGGCAGGTAACAGGATTGAGCCCTTTGCAATGCATACTAATTTGAACGGTTACCTTTCTAGAGGAGTCTGCTGCTACCTGTGAGCCTGGGAAAAGGTGCTTTCAAATGTGTACTTATAAAAAAAAAAAATGTGTACTTATAGTCTTTTAATAAATTCAAACGTGTGCATTTTAATAAAGTGATTGGAGATTTGATTTTTTGTGCCAAAAGGTAAATAACTTTCTCAACCTATTAACACAATCTGGTAAATAAGTCTTTCCCAATCTCTCATCCCACAACCTTTTTTTGGTTCATGTTCCTGAATCTTGCTGCCGATATTTCCCGATATTTTCAGCTCAGCCCATGGACCTGCAGGAGCCAGGTGGTGAAGGAATGTGGGGGAGGGGCACAGCACGAGCCCCGCCACCACCCCCCACGCCCGCGGACCTCCGTTCAAACGACCTGGTGGGCCCAGAACGGAAGGAAGGGAGAAATAATATAGGAGCTGGGCCTCCCCCGCTCTCTTCCTTCTCAACTCTAAATCTCTCAGCCCCATGGTCCCCGCTGGCAGTGTGCTGCCCTGGGCCCTGCTGCTGATTCTGGGGGCCCAGGTGGCGGGAGCCCAAGGCCAAACCCAAACTCCCTGGAGACTGCAGCGCCGGCGCGTCAGTTTCCACTCAGAGAGCGCTATGCCTAGCAGCTCCCAGACCACTAGCCAGACCTTCAGATCCCAGAAGATGCTAACTTTGGAGGATGAGAATGACGCTGCAGCTACCGCTGATCAGTTGGCTAGCCCAGCTGCCTCTGAGCTCCTGGCTTCCTCGGTGGCCACAGGTATCAGCCACCCCTCTTCTGGGGAAGAGGAAGGAGTTTTGGAAGATGATGTTTTGATTAATGCCAGGAAGAATAGCAGCCTGGAGACTCCCAGCACACTATTTCCAGCTAATTCCCAAGATCGAGAAATCAGGCTGACTACAAGGCTGATGCCCTCCAGTAGGTCAAGCAACGACCAAGTAGGCTCCGAGCTCATTCAGAGCCAGTTGACACCTGGGTCCACCCCGAGCAGGTGGCCGCCACCCTCTCCCAAAGCCATGCCGCCTATGGATGACATACACTTGGTGATGATGCCCTGGGGCCCATGGCGCTGTCACTGCAGGGGTGGCACTATGAGTCGGTACCGGGGCGCAAAGTTAGTGGACTTTTCCGGGCGCCTCCGACCGGGAGCGCTTAGCCAAGTCCGCACAGAACATCGACCTTGCACCTATAAGCAATGTCCCTGTAACAGGAATCTGGAAGAGTGCCCCCTGGACACAAGTCTTTGTGAAGACTGCTCCCCTCAGTCCAGGACTACTAGTCACCTCCACAGCCCCAGTTCGGAGTCTGGCTCCAGCTTCAGGCCCAGCCCCATCCCCATCTCCAGCTTCAGGCCCAGCCCCAGCCCCAGCCCTGCTCTTGCTTTTTGGAAACAAGTCAGGATTAGACTGGAGGATATTTGGAACAACCTCTCTTCAATTTTCACAGAGATGCAACCAGTAAGTGTTGGTAGACCAGAGAAGTCCTGATACCCAAAAACCTTGTTGCTGGCTGGTATGGTGCCATAAATTTCTTGACATACATAATTTGGTTAAATTACTGATTTGTGAAATGCATTAGCTACTCACATTATTGCTATTACTTCAGGCTTTATTTTAGCAACTACTAAATGGTTGATTATGCAACATTTATTATTGGTCTTTAAATGATTGACCAAATAGTCAAAATAATGTTGTTGTTGTTATGTGCCATCGAGTCGTTCGTGACTCATAGCCACCCTATGTACAATAGCCCTAAATCCTGCTCTATCCTGTGCAAATCACATTGCCTGAGTCAAAATTAGATACATAAAAACTTCACACATATTGGATGTTATGCGCCCTTGAGTTGACTAATTCATAGTTAAAACTATGAACAATGGCTCTGAATTTTGCCCTATCTTGATGGATATGAAGGATTATTAAATGCAGTTTACAGTAAAAACTGCCAATATTGAGGTCTTACTAGGCATACTTACACCTGGATCAGTCCTCACAACCACTGAGTAGTATTTTTTATCTGGATTTATGCATGAAAACTGGGGTTAACATGGTTACTTAAAAAGCTACTAAGTAACAGAACCAAAACCAAGATCAATTCAGCTTTGCTGGACACCACAGCCCATGCTTATCAACCATGCCTTCTTAAGTTAACTGTCATTCTGGGAGTTTTCCCAGCAACCTATAAATTTTTGAGAAAATAAGTTTGTAAGGGATGAGTAGGATGGCACACGACAAGCCAGGGTTCAGATCTATTGTTCGGAGTTGCTCTAAATTATACTCAAAGTCACTTAATCTCAACAGTCCCATTTTACTAAAAGAATTTCTGAAAACTGATTGACCTGGGAATATATTCAACATTACTAGAGATGACATGAACATTGGGGAGGGAGAATATTAAGAACATGGTATGGCTGGTCATTTTACTGTGTTTTATCTGAGGAATAGGGTTGAGTGAATGGGAGTATATGGAGAAGGGAATTATGCAAGATAAGGGAAAAGACTGTAGATGTGATTGTAATTTCTTTTCCTCTATTTTTCTTCTTCGCCCAGATAGAGAAAAATCAAAGGTAAAGAACACTTCATCCACAGGAAGTGGAAGTGTCAGCATCTCAACCTTCCCTCCCCTTTCAATCCCAGCACCCAATGGATATTTTTAGTACGAAGAAACTGGGGACAAATTATTCGAGTATTGTGCCTTTTTTTAGAAGTATTTGTGTAAAGCAAGACTCTTCAATTCCAAAACAGAACTGAGCAGCTAGCAATATCTGTTACCTCCTCCTTCCCCTAGGATAAAATAATACTGGTCATTTCCCATTATTTTCAAAGTTGTTTTTAAACAGTACTTCTTTAAAGGTTTGAAAAATCTCAGGAAAATAACAAGGAGACTAGAACAAGGGGTTACATCCTTCAAAGGCTATGAATTCCCCTCGCCTTTACAATGCTTGACCCTCTTCAGGAAGGACAATGTTGGTAAAAAATTCCAGGTCCTGAAAATTGCAAGGAATTGCATTCATTAGCCATATCTATTATTTAAGTCCACACAGCTGTAATGATTACTCTGCAACTCTTTCTTGCTTAAAAATTTTATTTGAAAATGTATTTAAAAGTCCAACAATTTTTAATATAAATTATGACTCTCAAACCCATTCTCATCACCCTAAAATTAAAGTGATGGTAGCATACACATTAGAGAAGGTAGCTAAAGGCAAGAGAGCACCAAAGAGAAAACTGTGTGTCCAAAGAACCGGTATTTGATTGAGGCTGAAGATAGAGAACCACAGAATCCAGAAGGCCCATTGATCCTGTTAACGTTCCAGATCTAATACAAGCCATGAGCTACTGAGCTACGCAGGTTAACAAGATGGGCCACTGTCAGTGCCAGCATCTCTACTGGAACTGAGAATAAAGAATAAACTAGGAATGCCATCTTGATGTCCAATTCTAAATCCTGAAAAATTGCAGGGAACATACGAAATTTGGAAAAATTAAATCTTCAGTTATTGTAGGTGGGGGAATGGAATAGGTGGATAATGGAATCAGCAAAGCAGGTCCTATGTCTCATATTCCTAACCCACTACAAAATAGGATGTTTCTTGTAACAAAGCTTCATGTCTAAGGAAACAGCTCATTTGTCTTGTTCTGCCTCCCTAATAATCCTACAAGGAAAGGGCCAGAACAAAGAACACCTGAAAAAAAAACCCCAAACCAAATCAAACCAACCACCCTGAAAACAGCAGCCTGCACTGCTTCTACACTGTTTTACCACCCAAAGTGGATGCTTCAGCCAGGTGCGGAGTGGGACCTGGTCTTTAACAGTTAGCAATGCAACTTCCTGTGGACTACGCCACCAGAGCGAACACAGGATCTGGTCTTTAGACAAAACTCCCTGAGTCTCATCATCTCTGATTCTACGAATAGGGCATACAAATAGCACTTAAATTTGGGGTACAAACTGTGGTATCTACAACACTAATGCTTCCTTTCCTCTATGTTCACCATAACCTGTCGTGTTTCTACACTATAGGAACCCACTCCTCCAGGTTGCAAAAATGGAGAAGTATGGTATGTGTTCACAACAGAGACATGAACTCATTCAAGCAAAACACCAAATTTTAAAAAATCATGTGGAGATATGTACAGCACTATTGGCCTTGCTCATTCATGGCAAGTTTTAGATAAGGAGATGGGGAGGTGGGGCAGGATATGAAAATTAAAGAGAAAAATATCTTGACTCTAGAGCTGTGGTTCTCATTGGGTTGTATCTGCCACTAATGGACACTGGAAATGTCTGGAGACATTTTTGGTTGTCACCATGAGGATGGACCAGAAATGTAACCATGGACAAGACAGAGGACAAGCCCCCCACCACAAAAACACCTAAATTGCACAGATGCTTGTTTTACCATCTCTCATCCTCAATGAGGAAATCCTCCCTGAGATAGAAATTCTAGTTTTGATGTATTCTGGGTTACTGTACAGACTCCTCCTCCTCCCCCACCTGGGCCAGCAGGGAGGTTGGCAGAGGGCTGGCCAGGTCCCCAGAATTTAAATGGATGTAAGGAATGCCACCAAGCTAAGACCCACCTCTTATCTTAACTCTTTTTGGGTGGGGAAACTAAGGCTCCTAAGAGTTAAGATTTAAGGACAGAGGTAGTAGTAGCATGGGATAATTAAGAAAACTCAAATTAATTTCTTAATTAAAATACAGGATAGTTGCTGAAGATCTAATAATGCTCCAGAAATGTAGGATTAGAAGCCTAAGTAGAGAAAGACCTTGGTATTGGCAAAAAGATATTGAGGGGCTATGAGCTTTGTAAAGTCCGAAACATAAAGAGAATGGACTAAACAGTAGTCGCAGCCCCTGCTGATATATGCTTCAGTTCGTTCCAGGTGGGAAGAGGGAAAGTGCAGGGAGGTAGGGAGCTTCTCAACAAAGCTGTCTTCGGCTTGGTAATCTCATTCACCTACCCCTCATTTAAGGAGTTCCAGGTTAAAAGTTTTAAAAACAACTGGCACCCAGACCATCATCCAGGAGAATGGAACTCATCTCAGGTTCCCAGTAAACTCCTATCTCAGATCTGACGGTGTCCAGAGCTTCAGCTGAGTTCCTCTGGCCAACTAGTAGTCATGTGGTCAGTCCTGCTGCCTTGACCCCATCTCCTGGAGGGGCTGTCACCAGAGGGAGTTGAGGGATTCCAGCCCCCAAGTCTTCTGAGGCACTGTTAGATGGATAAGGAAAAGAGGGGCTCTAGGGTCACTGGTTCTAAGGGATCTGGAGGGGCAGCATATCTGCTGGGCTGGACACAAAGTAGGGGCTTCAAGGTGGTAGAACCTGGATTGAAAAAAGGGAGTAAAATCAGATTAGGCTTTATGAAGAAAGCATCACCTAACGCAGGCTTAGTTAAGTTCCTCTCTGCCTTTACAGTAGTATAGACATAATCAGCAGCAGACATCTTGTCCCTGGGTGGGCTCGAAGGACCAACCTTTCAGTGTAACGTGCTAACCAACTGCGCCACAGAGACAACTAGTCTCTGGTACCAGCAGTCAGGAGACATATTGCACTGGGAAAATCTGTTGTTAGGAACTTCTCCAAATGACTGAGGAGCAATGATATCAGTTTGAAGACCTAGGTGCGCCTGATCCAGGCCATGGTCTTTTCAGTCACTTGTTAAGCTGCTGAGAGCCGGACAATAAATAATAATGACAGACAATAACTGATGCCTCTGAACTGTGGTGATGGAGAAGAGTACTGGATATCACATGTACTGTCAGAAGAACAAAGATGTAGGTCTTGGAGAAAATGCAGCCAGAATGCTCCTTAGAGGCAAAGATGATAAAGTTTCAACTCACACTCTGGGCATTTTGCTAGCAGAGGCTATCCCTTGGAAAAATGACATTACGCTCGGAAAAGTGGAGGGTGGGTGAAGACCCTTAAAAGATGGATTGACACTGTGACTGTAGCAATGGGCTCAAGAATGTCAGAAATGGTAAGGCTAGCACAGGACAGGATAAGGTTCTGTTCTTCATAGGGTTGCTACTGAGTTGTACTTATCTCAAGGTCACCTAACAACAACAACACAAGCTTCTTTTCATAGCCTACTCCTCTCTTTCTACCTATCTGTACAACTCCCTCTTTCTGCCTTTCAAGATCCTACATTTTCAAATTCTCTACTCCAATTATCTCTTTTTCATCTTTACTTTCCATTCCTGTATGAAAGGATTAGGAGCTGAAGTACTGAATTGGCTTGTCTCATCACTCACCATTTCTTTTGGAGCTACAAGCCCCTAGAATTGCTCCATGGCCTGTCTCGGTTTCCTTTAGATCTCATTTGCTCCTGAACTGCACCTGTCTGTGAAAAAGTACATGTGAGATTTTATATTCCATGCCCCACAGCAAGGGGTCTCCCTATGCTCTCCAGGAAAAGGTTGATCCCATCTCCTTTATAATAAAATCAGTATGAAAAGACTACTACCATTCCTCCCAGGGAAATCTCAATGCCTTCCTTCACAAAGTCCATGAGAATGAGGCAAAAAGAGTCTTCTATTATTAAGATCCCTTTACAAAGAACTCACACATACTTATTTGAACTTCATAAATAGTGAAAAGATCCCTTCTTCACTTTCTGATTTTCCTTATTTTGAAAGCAGAAATTCATCTTGGACATTAATTAAGACAGAAGTACTTAGTCTTTTTCTTGCCCTAATATTTCTAAATATAGTGTGACTTGATATGGTATTTCTCAATTAGAAAAAGGGAGGTTTATATGTAACTTTGGGAGAAAGTCCTCCAATACCACAATGAAGAATAATCTGCTAATAATAAAAACAAGGGAACCAAGGATCAGAGAGCTGAACAGCTAGATGCTAAGTTATTCAGCTGGTGACCAGGACTAAAATCGGAGAGTGTTCACTCATCAAGCATTTAGTCCTAGTCCTACATTTGAGCTTTCAAAAGGGCAACAGTTCTAGATCAAGCCTCCACAGCAACCTCTTCCTATTCTCTTATTACCATGGCAAGTCCATCTCCAGCCTCCATCTCCCCAGAGCCAATATGAGTCAGATGGACAAAATTCATTGGTTCCCCAATCATGTTTCGATCAATCAGTCTCCTCTTCTTTTTCTGTTTAAAAGAAAATAATAGCAGTCATGTCTTAAACCCCTCCAGTCACCATGAAGGAAAGGAAAGGAGTATTGAGGTCCACTTAGGAAAAAACTAAGGATCTGATTGTAGTGGAGGTATGTGGTCATAATAGAGAATTCAGAACAGTGTGAAAGGCAAAGCTAGAACATAAACATAGAGGTCACAGAACAGCATGGTGAGGGTAGTGGGCTGCAGAGCTGGTAATGAACAAATAAAGGCCAAGTCAAAGTTACCTCTGGGTGATAGAAAAATGGGGAAAGGTAACAGGCATTAATCTTCATTTACAATTCCCCTCCCAACCCAAATCAAAACAGATGGGAACAGAAGGTGAGTAACAGCTAGAACTATTCACTTTCATCACTCCAAGCCCTTTATTCTAGGAATATATTGGCCTGGCCACAGCAGCTGCCTGAGAAGGAAGCAAGGGGTGTACTGCCGCAATGCCTGATTCTAGATGGTTTGTCTACTTCACATTACACACGGTAACGGATTTCTGTGGGCGTAGGGGTGGGGAGACTCACCGGCTGGGGTTTCTCTACCACACAGCATCCCAATTTGTGCCAAAATTCACTCATGTTCCCTGATGGTTCCAGTTTCACTCCTCTGCCTGAGGCCCCAGAGGGCTCTTGCTCTGGTGCCTTTGCTGCCCACTCCTCACTGTAGCCAAGGTATGACAACACCCTGGGTGCACTCAGCTGGATGATGGAGAAAAAGTGGACTCCTTGCTCCTCTCAGCTGATCAGTGAAGGGTGGTATCTCAGACACTGAGAGACTAACAGGGCCAGAGAGCAAGACGAACCAGTAAGGTACAAGGCTGTCTTCCTCAGACTTTGAACCCTGGATTAAGAGAAAAGAAAAAGAGGTTAGTGAGAGATCTAGTAGTGAGAAACGTAATTAAGCCTACATCTTCCCAACTCTCCCTTAGAAGTCCTGGTCCTGTACCCAAACACTAGTCTACAAACATAAGGATCACAGAGAAAGGAACCATCTAGGGGTTAAAGAACAGTGGCTGGCTATAACAAAGGAGCAAAAGGGAGTTGGAAGTGCTTAGTATTTAGGATAAGTGAGGTAAGGATAGTGGCAGAAATAAGCAGAGATTGGACATGCTATATACTCTAGTTCCCCTCTCTCTCAATTTAGGGTAGAAGGGGAAAGACACTTAAGTGACTCAAGAGGAAATGGTGGTTTTTTAATTTTCACAAACAAGAGCCTCCACCCCTGCCCCTTCCTTTAACTTTGTCTTCCCCTGAAACACCTAGATTTTCTTTAAGAACATGACAAGTCTGATCACCTGTATCCTACGAGACTAAATGAACACGCATGACCTCAAGACGGTCTTTCTACAGTGAGGAATTTGAGTTTACTGCCTTTGTTCCTCCCTCACTTTCCTTTAGTGAGATCCAATCATCCCAGAAGTTAGGAGTTCATAACTTGACCTTGAGATTCTTGGAGAAGGCTGTACATACACTTCTGTTTATGTTTCTTGCTAAATTCACTCTCCTCCTCTATGTGCACTTGTGTTTGCACATACGTGGCATAAACATATTGACATAAGTGTCTCATAGAGATCATGTGAGTATAGATTGTGGGTAACAGGTATCTTTTGTCCCACGAGAAATCTTTTTCTAAAGGTCCCTCCACCCTCTTCACATGTCCTATCATGTCCTCCTCTACTCTGCCACTGGTGTCAGCCTCCTTTTCTCTTTTCATGCTGTGACCTGTTCTGTCCTTCCTCCTCAGCATTTCCACCAACTTCGGCAGCCAATCAGGACTTTCCAAGAGCTAAGAAGTTCCTCCCCTTCTCACTACTGCCAGTCCTCTGGATTTCCTCTATCTTCATTATATTTTCCAGTTCTACAATAGGCAACTTCAAAGATTTCAAACACAGGGGTTTCTTGAAATTTTCACTGCTTATCATGAATAGGATTCTCCATTTCTAACACTTGGGCAACCCTTGGGTGATTTTAGAACTAAGAGATGTTTTAACAGCCTTGTGATGAGATCACATAAACACTGAGAAACAATTTCTAAGAACGGGAAGGACCACTGGAAAGAAGGAGTAACCAGACTGGGTGGAAGTCAGAACACAGCTGTCCAAAGTGGAGAGCCGTAGTAAGTGAAGTCAGTTGGTCACAGGGTTTGGCATGATGGTGATTGAGGCATCAAGTATTAAGGTTTGGGCCAGGGACAATGGAGAAAACAATTAAGAATTAGAGGACACCCCTCCCCCCACCCCTAGACAGAATATACAAAACCAAGACTATCCTGCAATACCCCTGCCCCTCCCCTAGAATTTTCAAAGTTGAATTGTCCAATGATGCTGGGAGGGGAGAAGAGAGAAAGGGGGAGAAGGAGAGAGTGAGAAAGAGGCAGTGAAGGGAACAAGGATGTTTCTGTTCCTTCTCCAGGGATCAGGCCAGGGCTGGGTGGAGAAAGTGTGTATGTGTGGGACTCAGCATGAAATGACCAATGGTGTTGAGACATGACCAGGAAATTCCATTCCCCAGGACATTAGGGTCTCTGAAACTTGGGGGTGGGGAAGGAGTATGGAAAAGACAAAGCAGGGTGAATGTAGGGACTGAGAGGTGGGAGAGAAGGAAAACAAGACCAGAAAAGGAAGTACTACTGGCTGCCACTTTCCTTTAAAGCAGCCAGAGAAGGGTGGGTTGAAGAAAATTAATTCTGTGAACTCAAGAGGAAGCAGCACTCAAATCCACTACTTCCAGTCCTGCAGTGAAAGGGAAAGGGTTGGAAAAACAACAGGAGGGATCTGGATAAAGCCGCATATGGCCATATCCTGACAGCCAATTAGTGCTGAGAATACCGAATAGGAAGCGTCAAATACAGAGCAAGGTCCCTACACCGTCAAGGTCACACTAAGACTTAGGAGGCTCCAGGTTGTGGCTATCAACTCAAGAAAAGTTTTTCTTAGTCTATGAAAGAAGATGAAGTAGCCAGGCTTTTCAGACGGCCCGCATGCCTCCAGGCCCGAAGCTGTTGCCTGCGGACGAGCAAGAGAAGGGATGCGAGGAGAGTTCCGGGAAGGAGAGATGTACAAAAGTGGCTCCCTGGTCCGGTTCTAGTCCCAAACCGGTTTTCCCGGTCCCGCTGCCTCCCGCCCCAAGGCCTCCAACCCGCTGCCCCGACAAGCCTTCACCAGAAGCAGCTGGAGAGAAAGAGAAAGAGAAAGGGGATTATGAAAATGCAGTGGGCAATTCTGGCTACAGGCCCAGGATTGCAGCTGGTTCCCGTGACATGTCCCTCGGGGCACGGAGCGCTGCGGAGGAGCTGTGGGAAAAGGGGCTCGACCCGACGTGTCCCCCCCGCACCCGCTCTACCGTCCCCAGGAAAGGACTTGTGGGGACCTGTGACCACAGACTATAGATTATGTCACACATGTCTGTCTTCCTCCTCGACCCCCGCCATCTCTACTCAGAAATCCTTTCCTCCCCCTACCCTCGAATTCGGTCTGGGGCATCTCTGTAGGCCTTTCTGCTCTTTTCTGTGGCTGCGCCTCATAGGACGTTCTCGGACTCCACTTCCCTACCTGGCACACAGCGCCACCAACGTTAGGCAGGATCGGAGGAGACCCATTGCCCCCCATCTTCCCCGCCGCGCTCGTCCCTCCTTTCTCTCCCCCGGCCACGGCCAGGGCACCGCCTGGAGCTGAGCCAGGCGCCCGGGTTCCCACCGACCCCGCTTCTCCCCGGCTCCGTCACCCTCCCTCCCCCACCCCCGCATCCGGTGCGTCTCCGCGGGGCCGAGCCCCGCAGGCAGGACGGGCTGGCGCGGGCACAAACTCGACGGTCTCACCGGTCCTCCTGCGGCGTCCAGCCGTGGCTCCGTCGTGGTGGGGGGGGGGGGGGCTGCGCTGCCGAGACTCCGGAGGAGATTGCGGCTTTGCTCCTCCGCGCGGTGGGGAAGCCGAGGGCGGGCCGGCAGAGGTGGGGCCGGCGGAGGGCGGAAACGGCCCGACGCGATTACGAAACCCGTGCGGCTCGGCGCCGAGCGCACGGCTCCTCCCCACCGGGATGGGGCGCTGCGCCGCCGGGACTTGGAGGGCGCCAGCTGCGGGCCCCGGTGGCCGCGGCCCCCGCCCCCACACCAATCCCGAGGCGGCCGTGGACCCTTGGATCAGGACCTGGCGCTTTAAAACCGGACCCTTAGGAATCGCACGCCAGGCATTGCGGACTAAAAGTGCAGCCCCAAATCCCCCAAACCCAACCAAGCCCTGAGATTCACACACCCTCCAGACTGTAGTGCTGTATCCAAAATGGAACAGGGCTAGATTTATATATCTACTCGTGAGATTGTAGAGGGAGGAATAGAGACTAGGGGGACCGGTGAAACATTTTCCTGATTCTCAAAATCACTTTATATTCCCAGGTCTTTAAATTGGGGGACACTCGCCTTTTCATTCTTTACAAATTTGACATTGTAAATCCATAAACCCATGATTAAAACAAACGACAGTTTGTTGCTCATTTGTTGCACCTGTGACAGTTTGAGGGTGCCGAGAGAGATCGGGAGTAATTTTTAATTTTCCGGATCAATAATCTCACTGAGATGCTTTAATCCTCCCCTCAGTACTGCGGAGCCGATCCTTTGAATTAGCCTAGTCAGGCTGGGAGGAGGCGGGGGCGGGGAGTCCTTCCGCCCTTCTTAGGAGGGGCTGCATTGCAGGGGGAGGCTGAGCAGATACACTCAGTCATTGAAGGAGTGAGTGAGAAGACAAAGCCTTCAAAACCCCCAACAGCCTTCTTTTTTCTTCAGCGCAGAGCAGATCCCGGAGCCTCAGAGGCACTTCCCGCACCTTTGGACCAGGCTAGTAATTCATTGGTAACAGGTAAACTAAACTGAAGAAAGGGGAGAGATGGAGGGTGCGGTTTGCAAAAAAATAGAAGGGCAGCTTCCCCCGGCTAGGTTGAGAACCCCAAATGAGGATGAGGTTTGGGAACAATTCAGGAGAAGGGGGCGCTCTGAACAATGGGTATTTGATGACCGTTTTACATCTCTTTACTAAGATCTCCATCCTTGCCTTACTCTCTTTACATATATATTAATTTCCAACCATGTATATGTAGTTATCATCTCTCAGCATTTATCTTTTTATCTCCACGATTCTTCTATAATTAGTCTCTGTACTTTTAAATCTTCAATTTGAGTATTTATATTTTTAAGCTATTATAATTAATTAACTCGATTTCTGATGGATCTTTATTCCTACTGTATCATTCTACCCTCTGCTATTTTATATTTACAATTTATTTTCTCTCACTATTTCATTGATGCTACTACCTTTGCCTTCAAGCATATTTGACCCTAAATTTTGGTAAAGAGGGATTTGGTATAACATTTAGAGTAATCTTGACCTCACTTGTCTCCATTTCAAACCTTTACTCCAAAGAAAGAGGTCGCTTGTGGTAAGAAAGCTGGGGTCCTCTGTGTCATAAAATGCCTTATTCCATATTGAATCCGTATAATAAGGGGAGCTAGGTATGAGGGCATATTTTGGAGAGGGAGTATTTATTTGTCGCTTAGTGAAATATTTGGGAGAAAGATATAGCTAATAGGA